ATATATATATATATATATATATATATATATATATATATATATATTATAACGCATTGCTTTGAATATCTCTTAACAATATTTTTGTCTTTAAATTTGAATTATAAAATTTACGTCACAATTCTATAATATAATTTATAAGAAATTGCCTTAGATATTTTTATTACCATTTTTTTTTCTCTAACTTCTATAAAAAATTTTAAAAAAATAGAAAGTATCTGTTGGGCCCACTTAACACGGGACCAGCCCACTTAACCCGGGACCGTTAGTTCGTGGTCCCGGTCTCAGGCCGATTCCAACAAGAAGCCCGGGACCACTTAGGACCAGGCCCACAAAGCCCACTTAGGACCAGGCCCGGCCCACATGCCACAATTAGCGTGGCGCAATAGCAATAAAGCGGGTTAAAACATGGGATACCAGGGTTCAAATCCAACAAAGACAAGAAAAACCGATAGGTGATTTCTTCTCATCTGCCCAACCATTGGTTGAGTAAAATTACCCGTTGCAATTGTCGAGGTCCATGCAAACCGGACCAGACACCACAGTTATTAAAAAAAAAGGGCGTTTCAAATCTAACCTTGGTAATGGGGTGAACAAACATCCTATAAGTATTTGGAAAATGCAGGGACGTTTTACAATGACTAAACGAAGTTGAAGCGCCAAAAACATTTTTGTTATTTGCAAGTCACGGACCAAACATTGATTAAGATAGGAAGGGACAAATTCTGCACATGTCAATTTTAAGGAATACGGCAATGTCAATGCAATAACTTGAAAGACAACCTTAGAGGACTGAGTTTTACTAAATAATTACATTCAGGAGTTTATACTATGTCCGTGATTATTTAAGATTAACAAACTTTGCATGTTTAAGTATGCTAGGTGGAACCAACATCTCCAACCGCACTTTTACCATTGGGCTCTGGCACATTCAAACAAGTGCTAGCTTTGCAGATAAGGAAAAGGCACTTCAGTTTAACATCACCAGCATTGTATTGTGTCCTAGGAAAATTTTCAGACCTCCTGTCTGTGTTACTCAGCCTCATTGTTTGCTTTGGCAAACATGTGTCAATAAGTATGATACAGGCACGGGTACTTCTTATATCCTCCACAATACACTAAGCACTTGATAGGAATTAGACATCCCTGTGTCAGATACATATCTATATATATCTATAAAGGAGGGAATGAAAGAGATGATCCTATTTATCTATTATCTCAATTTTTTAGTCTTTTCCCTCCCATTTTAATACAATAATCAACTTTTACATTTAAATAATTTAAGGTTTTAATTGAAATTCCATAACTACATAAATAGTATTAAATCTAAAAAAAATGACGCTCAGTTACAACTCCTACTAAGAAGGAAATTGACAAAGCAACGGTTTCGACATTTATTGACAACCGTTTCAATTTCTTTATATTTAAAAAATACCTAATTCATCATAATGATTCCATAATGAGGTCTTTCTGTTACAGATTGAAATCTACCGTTACTGCCCAAAAGCAAAAAACAAAGAAGAAAGTGCTTCTCAGGGACCATATATATGTCCCCTGGTCATTGTTATCTTTGTGCGTTGGTGATTGAAGAAGAAAAATGGTATGAACATTGTAATAGAGGTTTTCAGATTGATCAAGAACCATAAATTTTACAAGCAGTCATGGATATTACTCTTGCTAGGTTTGAGAAACAGGGGTGCAAGTATCTCCTTGATATCCCTAAGGTTTTTAGGTTTTCAGGCTTTTACTTTTTAGTTTAAGCTTCATAAGCAATTATTTTGATGATGCAACAGATCTAAAAGCAAATACTTTCAAACAGAGTATGTTACACACTTTCATTGTATGCTTCAACTTTAGTTCAATGATTTCTATGTTACACACTTTCATTGTATGCTTCAAATTTAGTTGAATTATTCCGTTACTGTTAGTATTCATGTTCTTTTATTTAGAAAAATGAGTATTTTCCATGATAAATTATTGTTTGAGAGATGAGATGGCTTTACTTAGTTTCTATTCTCTCTTTTTTCCTATTATTTTTCTTCTCTTTCTTGCGTCGGATAAGACCCAAAGTTGCTTTTAGTGAAGCGTATGTACCAGTATTACCTTTATTGCAAAATCCTACATATGGTTGTTTCATATTATTTTCTATCTGTCATATTATATTAACTTGTATTCTAGAGTATATTTTTTATCGTTTGGATTATGCTCGCCCTACAGATCAATTTTTATAGAAACAGTTCTAGAGTGTTAAGATAGTAGAGGAAGAAACAAAATTTTGAGAATTTTGCAAAAATTTGAAGATGAAATGGGAGTTACGTTGTTTGGATAACGTTGTCTCCTTCTAAAAGACTCTCCTCTCCATTTTTTACATGGAACTCCATTTAAATGGATGGGGTGTTGAAATTGTAAAAAGTTAAAAAGAGAAAAGAATAGGAGCTGATAGTACTTTTCTTTTTAAAGGTATGTTACTTCGTGAGGAACTTGGTAAAATTTTAAAAATAAATGGTTTCGAAAGAGTAGCTTGTTACTATGAAAATCCATGCTCACCAAGTTTTTACTGTAATGCTTAGTTTGCTCATACCTATATTACATGAAGAGGGTCATTTCCACAATCAGAATGTGAAACTACCACTTTAAGTATTCTCAAGAAATTAAACTAAATCAGTGTTACTAATACTTCTATGTATGTATCGGTTCTTGATATAATGAATTGGATATTTATTATTTGTCAATTATTAATAGTTATTATTAGACCAAATACTCCTCTCCTCCCATAAAGAACTTTTCCCTTGAAATAATGCTATACACAATGAGTATTAACTAGGGAACAGTTGAAGAACAAGAAACAAATACTAAAAAAAGGGTACAGAAAAAAAAAATCAAGTAATTGTGCTTGCCTATGATGTGTGCAGATTTATTTTCTTATATTTCTTTCTCTTTTTTATTTCACATATCCTCTTCTTTTTTCCAATAGCGGAAACTTTCAAAAATATTTGAAAGAATTAAACTTAATTATGCATAAAATATAAATTAGAGGAATGTATTATTATTTCTGAAAATAATATTACAATTTTTCTTGAAAATTCCTTTTCACTTTTTAGAAACAAAAGAGCTAATTTAATTTGGAAATACATATCAGCTTTACATATATGGTTTGAGGAATGCCCTCATAACCAGCTGTAACAATATGTATGCTGCTTGAAGTATAGAATCGCACTATGGATATCACGGAAAATATTTATTGGTGATTTAACCAACTCTGCAATTAATTTATCTATGTATATGTAAGAAATTATTTATCTCTTCTATCCCAACTACATTTCCAGAAAAAGATCAATTTAATTTATAATTGTATTTTTTTACCGCGCGAAGCGTAGATAAATTCACTAGTTCCATGTATATTACCCAACCTGAGTCCAGTAACATATGCTACAGTTTCGTGAAAAGCAATCACAAGTTCCCTGCTGGACAACATGATCGTGCATACAGGACTACACCCATCATACTAAACAACTTATCCAAGTTTGAATTTTCAAATTTTCTGGTCTCCCATCCGCCATAAGATCGATTTCAACTGTAAATCACTCTCCTTCCATTGACTACAAATTCCTCCTCAGCTAAACAAGATTTCTTTCGTAGTTCTACTACTTGTTCATGTAAACCTATGTTCTGTTCTCCTTCCTGATTTATACCTTCAAATAAGTTCTCCACCATTACTTACAACAACAACAACCCAGTGTATTCCTACGAGTGGGATCTGGGGAGGGTAGGATGTACGCAGCCTTACCCCTACCCTAGAAGAGCAGAGAGACTGTTTCGATAGATCCTCATCTCCACCACTTACTTATCTATAAAATAAAAATAAATAAAATAAGTTCTCCGGCCCTCAAGGCTTTGGTATAGTGGTAAGAGTGCGATTTATGATGTATGGATTAGGTGCATGTCACGGGTTCGAGCCCTGACGCAGAAGGGAAGAGTCGTAAAGTCAACTACTAACTTTTGCTAACATATTCTTCATCAACAAAGATATTTTCTGACGAATACTCCTAATATTGTGTTTTAAAAAAAGGTAAACCAACAATGGTATCTAAAATCGGTAAATTACAACTTTGTAGGGGGAAGAGAGAGAATGCAAATGGAGAGCAAAAGAATTTCATTGAACTCATGCTCCTATAGGAAATGTAACAGCAAACAACTGTTTGGAGTTTGGACCAAGGTTCATGGACTCGGGCGCTTCCGATCATATCTCTGGTAATAAATCACTTTTGCCGAATATTATGTATTCACAGTCTCTTCCCACAGTTATTTCTTCCAATGGGTTCCAAACTAAAGCAAAAGGAGGTGCACAAGTTAATCCCCTATCTTCTGTCACTCTAGATTCCGTTCTTTATGTCCGTGGTTGTCCTTTTAGTCTTGCATCTGTTAGTCGTTAACTCGAGCCCTCTATTATGGTATATATTTTATTGATGATTCTTTTATCATGTAGGACCGCAGTACGGGACAGACGATTGGCACAGGGCGTGAATCGCAAGGCTTTTACTATCTTAACTCACTCAATCTCTCCACAGCATGTCCAGTTACAGATTCTCCAGACCTTATTCACAGACGTTTAGGACATCCGAGTTTATCCAAGTTTCAGAAGATGGTGTCTAGTTTGTCTATATTAGATTGTGAGTCGTGTCAGCTAGGAAAACATACCCGAGCCACCTTTCCGCGTAGTGCTGAGAGTCATGGAGAGTTTATTTTCTCTTTAGTTCATTCTACTATACGGGGTCCTAGTAGAGTCAGTTTAAGCTTAGAATTTTGTTATTTTATTAGTTTCGTTGATGATTATTCAAGATGTACTTGGCTTATCGTTCTGAGTTATTTTCTATATTTCAGAGCTTTGTGCTGAAATAAAAAATTAGTTTGGCGTTTCTATTCACACTTTTTGCAGTAATAACGCCTTAGATTATTTATCCTCTCAATTTCAGCAATTTGTGACTTTTCAAGAAATTATTCATCAGTTTATATGAGGTCCTAATAGAGTCAGTTTAACCTTAGAATTTCGTTATTTTATTAGTTTCGTTGATGATTATTCAAGATGTACTTGGCTTATCGTTCTGAGTTGTTTTCTATATTTCAAAATTAGTTTGGCGTTTCTATTCACACTTTTCACAGTAATAACACCTTACAATATTTATCGTATCAATTTTAGTAGTTTGTGACTTTTCAAGAAATTATTCATCAGTTTATATGGGGGTCCTAGTAGAGTTAGTTTAACCTTAAAATTTTGTTATTTTGTTAGTTTCGTTGATGATTATCCAAGATGTACTTGGCTTATCGTTCGGAGTTGTTTTTCATATTTCAAAGCTTTGTGCTGAAATAAAAAAAATTGTTTGGCGTTTCTATTCACACTTTTCGCAGTAATAACGCCTTAGAATATCGTTCGGAATATTGATCCTCTCAATTTCAGCAGTTTGTGACTTTTCAAGAAATTATTCATCAGACATTTTGTCCTTATACCCCTCAACATAATGGGGTTGCAAAGAAAGAATAGGCACCTCATTATGACTGCTCGCACGCTTCTCATTCAGTCCCATGTTTCGCTACGTTTTAGGGGTGATACAGTTCTCACGGCTTGTTACTTGATTAATCGGATGCCTTCATCTTCCATCCAGAATCAAAGTTGTGCATTTAGTATTATTTCCTCAGTCACCCTTATACTCTTTTCCCCCTCGTGTTTTTGGGAGAACATGTTTCGTTCATAACTTAGTCCCCTGAAACTATAAGTTAGCTCCCCGTGCTCTCAAGTGTACCTTGCTTGGTTATTCTCGTGTTAAGAAGGGATATCGTTGCTACTCACTTGATCTACGTAAGTACCTTATGTTAGTTGATGTCACATTTTTTTAGTCTTGTCCTTTCTTTACCTCTTCTGACCATATTGATATATTTGAGGTCTTACCTATACCAACTTTTGAGGAGTCTACTATTACTCCTCCGACATCCCCGTCCACGGACGTCATACCTATACCGACTTTTAATAGGTCTACTATTACTCCTCCGACATCCTAGCCGCAGTATCACCATTCTTGACTTATCGTCGTGACATTGTCATCCGCGTCCAGTATCGTGCCTAACTGATTCGCGTCCTGCACCTGACTTTGCTCCTACTATGGACTTGTCGCCTCCTAGCCCTCTTATAGCACTTTGTAAAGGTAAACAATCCACAATGAAACTAAATCCACATTATGTCGGTTTAAGTTATCATCGTCTCCCATCACCCATTATGCGTTTGTATCATCTTTGTCTTTTGTTTCCATCCCTAAGTCTATAGGTGAAGTACTGTTTCATCCAAGATGGCGACAGGCTATGATTGACGAGATGTCTTCTTTATATGCGAGTGGTACTTGAGAGCTTGTTCCTCTTCCTCAGGTAAATCTACGGTTGGTTGTCATTGAGTTTATGCAGTCAAAGTTGGTCCAGATGGCCAGGTTGATCGACTTAAGGCCCACCTTGTTGCCAGGGTATACTCAGATATTTAGGCTCGATTACAGTGATATTTTCTCTCTCGTGGCTAAAATAGCATCACTCCGTCTTTTTCTATCCATGGTTGTTGTTCACCATTGGCCTCTCTATCAGTTGGACATTAAGAATATTTTTTTCACGATGACCTTGAGGATGAGGTTTATATAGAGCAACCACCGGTTTTGTTGCGCATTGAGAGTCTAGTCGCCTTGATGTCGACTGAGCTGGTCACTCTATGGTCTAAAACAGTCTCCTCGAGCCTGGTTTGGTAAGTTCAATACAGTTATTCAGGAGTTTGGCATGACTCGTAGTGAAGCTGATCGCTCTGTGTTTTATCGGCATTCTGCTTCAAATCTCTACATCTATTTGGTGGTATATGTTGACGATATCATTATTACCTGCAATGATCATGATGGTATTACTAAGTTGAAGCAACATCTTCTTCAGCACTTTCAGACTAAGCTAGCGTTTGGACATAAATGGTTGAAACTTGAAAAAACAAGTTTTCAAAGATGAGATAAAAAATGATTTTTGAAAGTTGAAATTATGTTTGGACATGCATTTTACTTCAAAAGAATTTGAAGTTTTGTGAGTATAAAACTGCAAAAACTACTCTAAAGCTGTTTTTTGGGATTTGAAGATTTTGTTTTCAAAATTTGCCAAGAACTGGTTAAAATCTATAAACAAACGGATATTTGAAAACAAAATTTGAAAAAAAGCTCCCAAATTCTATGGCCAAGCGAGAGCTAAGGATCTGGGCGGATTAAAGTATTTTCTAGGTATTGAAGTTGCTCAATCTAGGTTAGGTGTTTTGATCTCACAACGGAAGTATGCCTTAGACATTCTTTGGGAGACAAGAATGACAAGGTGTAGACCCGTTGATACTCTTATGGATCTGAACTCTAAACTTCTGTCAGGACAGGGGGAGCCACTTAGCGATCCTGCAAGATATATGCGGCTGGTTGGTAAGTTAAATTACCTTATAGTAACTAGACCTGACATTTCCTTTCCACTATTGTGAGTTAGTTTATGGATTCTCCATGTGGTAGTCATTGGGATGCAGTTATCCACACTCTTCGATATATAAAGTCAGCCTAGACAAAGGATTATTGTTCGAGGATCGACGCCATGAGCAGTTTGTTGAATACTCAGATGCTAATTGGGCAGAATCACCTTCTGATAGACGTTCTACATCTGGATATGAGGGGGCATGTTGAAGAGACAATTAAATAAATAAAAGTGTGTTCTTTCTAACAGCTTAAGCTTTTAGATGAGATAGTCACATACTTTAACACAAACAAAGTGCACCCAAATGCCCTAGAATTAAAAGTTGTTGGGCATTAACTGAATACTCACCTACTGATAATATATTTGGATAAATAATTGGAAGCTGACAGTATCTTCAATAGAAAGCTTTTAAACAGTCCTTTCTAAGTGTACTACCACAACAGGACATAAGCATGTCCACAAAGATTCAATCTATTTGATTCAAAATGAGTAACTCCAGTTGAGTCTTTTATTCCTGCAGTATACTATAGTCCCGATAAACACCCTACTGAAATTATGAGAACAACCAATTATTTCCAATTCGAAGAGCCATACATCCACCACATAATGCCAAACAACATGCTATTTTTAACATAAAATAAACAAGAAAGGAATTTTAATAGAAATCAAGAAGAAAGTCAAAGTTCAAAAAACAAAACAGACAAATATCCTAGGTATAGAGCTGAGGCATAAATATACATAATGCGCATACCATCAGTTGAATCTTTTCTCCAGATCTCTGAATCAAAGCAGTCTCAAATTGAAGAATTTCAGGGGCAGCCTTTTCATTCCGCCGTGCCTGCTTCAAGAGCTCTGCATCAGTCGTTGAAACTTGAAAGTAAAGATTTGTTATCATCGTCCATTACTGAGTACCCACATGCTTCACCAGAACTATTTGCTCCCTTTCTCTAGAAACTCTTATCACCCAAGATTCTATATTTTTATTCCTCAGTGAAGATTGAAATTTTACTGGAGTAAAACAAACCTTGAAAGCACACTACACCACAGGAATATTGACGTGTTAAAGCTCGAATTACAATCCAAAAAACATCACAAATAAAAGCAAATAAAACAAAGAAAAGCAATTGACAGTTTCATTCCTCCATCACACTGAAGCTCAACATAAAAAAGATACCAATCTTTGGATGTAAAAATCAAGCAATTATAAGATGAGATTTTCACAGTAAAGATGGGCATTCTCCAGCCAGCTTTTCGTCATCCAAGACTCTGCTTCTTCCTCAGAAAAAATTGCAGCTTTCCAGAGTAGAACAAACTGTTAAAGCACACTACAGCTCTGAGGCATGATGTGTTAAAGCTCAAATCGCAATAAAAAAAATAATATTAAGGCAAACAAATAGAAACAGCGGCTGACAATCAGTGGTTTTTTAAATCCCTCCATCATATTGAGGTTCAACATTAGAAGTTGACAAACTTCGCCTAGAAATATCAAATAAAAGATGGCCATTTTCACAGTAAAGGCCATACCAAAACAAAGAAAAATTGAGAAGATGACTTTACAGAGAATACATTAGAACTGAAACAAATCAAATATCAGGGGTGTAGAATGAGTGGGTTGGGTCAAATTATTTTTGAAATTGTATTGAAAATTTTATTGAAGAACCCAAGAGAGTGCAATGGATAAGTAGTACAACCCCAACAGTATGCATCTTACCACAGTCCACAGCTAACTACATGTGCAAAGAACTAAGGAAATTAACCGTCCTGTCTACTTCTTGTACATCTTCATTTGAAATTAACCGTCCTGTCTACTACTTGTACATCTTCATTTTAACATCAAAACAAATAAAATATTAGGGGTGTAGAATGGGCTAAAGTATGGGATAGCTCAACCTGCCCAACCTGACCCAAGCGGAACTGCAGAAGCTGAAACCCTGAAGCTACCATTTTGAGGTGAGAGGAAAAGTGACTGGAGATAGGAAAAACAACATCACAAAGGCGAAAACTTAAAGATTACAAGCAACTTCTCTCATGAATAAACTGCTCCTTATTCAAACAAAAGCCAACGAATTTAGGTTTATTTTGTTCTTTTTTATGTCAACAGGTGTAAGCACAAATATAAACACATACACAGAGAATACAATTAAATCTTCCATGACCAGTTAATAAAAGACTCTAAACTATCAAACAGGAATAACAATTCTCTTGTTCTAACATTTGAGAAAAATCTGCTTAAAGCTTTGAACCTCCATGCTCAATGAACTTGAACCGAGTAAACACAAGCTCAAACTAAACTTTTGCACAGAAATTTCAGAACTAATCCAATCGGGTAAATACACGACGTAGTCCTAAAAAGAACTAAGACAAAAACCAATAGGTATACCGATGACAAAATTCTTACTAAACTGCTCACTAACAGCATTCAACATGTATGCCAGTGACCAAGAGAAACAGCACCAAATTCACATGAGTTAAATATTTTCCCATTTCAGCTTGTTTGTTTTTTTTCCTGATAAGGCTCCCATGTCAGCTTGTTTGCATTCTGCATTACGCCACTATTCTCCATTATGTAATTTATTCAAGAAGAAAACTATTAAGAACAGGATAACACTTTTGATAATGAACAGTCGAACCTGAATTAACAGCATTCTCAGAAAACCCAACTTAGAGCTCAGCCTTTTCCAGCACTCAGGAAACCAGACATCATTCAACTGTAGACAAAATGATTAAATAGGTATTTATATTCTCATAAGTCATGAGCTCCGAAACTTGAATTGCCCCATGCTCTTCTCCTTAGGCCACTGGAGCTGGGAATGTTTTGACTAGAGTTTTGACTAGATAGCTTACGGCGAGATCAGATTCTCCTTTAAAAGAACGAAAAGAGTATAAATGCCCCACCAGCAAGAAGACACTTGCATGCCAATATAGACGTTGACCTCTCTGGGAAAGAACAGGGTACTGAACTGATCTGCAGTTTGCAATAGTATAAAACGTCAACATAGCTAGCCAAGCTTTGAGAAAAGCTCTATGCATATTCAATGTTAAGGGATGTATATTGGACAATGAAAAGAAATTCTACTATACCAATATCAAAAGCTGCAAGAGAAAGGTGGACCACTTTCTAGCATAATTTGGTGATACAGTATCTCTGTAATACTTCACACAAGTAAAATATTAGGAGGCTATAACTCATACTCATATAGCTCTTTGTTTTGTTCATCTAAGATTCTTAATGTTTCATATATCATTCTTCGCTGTGGGTGAGAATAGTCACCAGCAGCAAACACATTTTTCTTTCGTTCCACTTCAATCCAACTGCAACCAACTGGCTTTTTAAGATCTCTCATTTTCATAGACCTCCTTATCTCTAGGACCCCATCCCATCTAGCATTTGCAGCATACAGATTTGACATGACTACATAATTCCCGATATCATTAGCATTGACTTGAAGCAAGCGATCTGCCACAGCACGGCCTATTTCAACCTCCTGATGGGTTTTACAGGCTCCCAGAAGCGTTCCCCATATATTGGCATCGGCCTTAAAGGGCATCCGGGTCACAAAGGAAAATGCATCTTTGATTCGGCCTCCACGTGCAAGTAGATCCACCACACAGGCATAATGCTCCATGCTAGGTTTGATTTGGTGCGTCTTTTCCATTGAATCAAAGATCTTCAATCCTTCATCCACAAGGCCAGCATGACTACAAGCAGACAGCACCGTAGTTATTATAACATGATCTGGTTTGAAGTCCAGCTCAAGCATATGATAGAATATCCCAAGTGCTTCTTCTCCCATTCCATGCATAGCGTATCCTCCAACCAATGCTGTAAACATAACAAGATCTTTGGCAGGAGATGATTGGAAAAGCTTGTATGCATACCCTAGAGTGGCACATTTTGAATATACATCTATGAGAGCTCCGATGACATAAACATCATCTAGAAAAGACCTAATCACATATGCATGGCCCTGCTTCAGCAGGTTGCTTGAGGCCATTTGAGCACAAACAGGAAGGAGGCTCAAAATGCTCATGGCATCAGGCCTCAGTTTGTGATGCTGTAACTCGGTAAACAGACTTACTGCTTGATCAGGACAATCATTTTCAGCATAAGCTCTAACCATCAAATTCCACGTGGTAAGATCCCTCTCGGTCATCCTCTTGAATATGCTATGGGCATCTTCATGCAAACCATAATTCACAAACCCTGATATAAGCGAGTTGCACGTGATTACATTCTTGTTTCCTGATAAACTCTCAAATATTTTGTTAGCATAGTTTAAATTGCAACACTTTGCATATGCATCAAGTAAGGCATTAGCGAGAGTAGGTTCAGTATCACTTAGCAAGATACCAGATCTTACTGAAAAACCATGTGCTTCTTTGACCTTATCCATTCTGGAAATGTTAGCAAAATAGCGCACCACAGTCAATAATGTGATGGAGTCAGCTCCCATCCCCTCTTCGAACATCCCCTTTAACAAGTTAGTAAATTCTTCGTGAAGTTGGTTTTCTGCTAAGGCATCAAGCATAGTGTTCCATGATATCAAGTCTTTGTTAGAAGTTAATGAAAATGTGTGACATGCTTCTTTGGTGTTTCCACATTTTGCATAAAAGCTTATAAGGGCATTAATCACAGAGGTATCTTGATGGAGGAAACGGTGACGAATTATATAGCCATGGATTTGCTTCCCAATCAATACGTTATTGAGCTGTGGACATGCAGGAAGAATGCTCATAAGAGTAACAGAGTCTGGTCCACTCATCTCCTCTTTAGTGAATTCACGGAAAAAATCCAGTGTCCTCAACCATTCACCATTAGCTGCATATCCAGCAATTATTGAGTTCCAAGATACCAGATCTTTACATTTCATATTCCGGAATAAAGTCTCTGCTCCTTCGAAATTTCCAACCCTCAAGTAGCAGCTCAAAAGAGCATTGATGACGGTAACTTCCGATAGCAGCTCAGTCCGTCGAAAAACATAACAATGTATCTGCCTTCCGAAGTGGTAACCAGCTATCCCTCCTAAGCTAGGACAGATAGGAAGAATATTTGCAATAGTTGCATAATTAGGTAGAATGGAAGCTTTCAACATCAACCTGAACAATTCAAAAGCCCTATCCGTAAGCTTATTCTCGATGAAACCTGCAATCATTGCATTCCATGAAACAACATCTTTGTCAGAAATTCCATGAAAAGTAGCAGCTGCATCTGAAATATCCCCAGATTTTGCATACATGGATAAGAAAGCATTTCCTACCAGCGTTTTACAATCCAATCCGTGCTTTATCGCATAACAATGAACACTTTTTCCAGCACCCAAAGCTCCAGAGCGGGCAAGCACAGGAATAACAATAGCAAGAGTGACAGAACTTGGCTTAGGATAATGGGCTCTTTGCATTGAATTAAACAGCCTTGTCATCTCTGTTTCATGAAACAGCGAACCAGCAAAGCCAGACAACACAATATTCCATGTCACTGTGTCACTGTATTTAATCTGGCTGAAAAGCTTTTGACATTCATCAAGATCTTTACATTTAGCATACATATTAAGCAAAGCCTTTGTAACAAATTGACAAGAATGATGGCCTAACTTAATGACAGAACTGTGCAGAGCTTTCCCCAATATTCTATCTGATATGGCAGCACAAGATTTGAGAACATTTGCCAAGACTTGGTAATCAGCAACCGTTGGATTTTGTATTTTTTGGATAATGCTAGATACTACTTCATTCTTCATGCTAAAAATTCCAGTAGTAATTCTTTAGTCAATGCACATCGACTTTCATAATCCAAATCATACTTTCATTCTTCACGGAATTACTGAATTATTCCCAAGAATCAATTTTAACCCTCCAACTGTACTTCCCCATTGGGCCTGTGACGATTCAATCAATTCAGCGACAAAATTGAAAGTCTGCAGGAAGCACAAACCATAGAGAGACTTGTCAGCAAAACTCTATGTTCATTGACCATGCTGAAATTGGTTTCAGAAGAATCAAGAAAACTAACCGAAGACCATATTAAAGGATATATGTGTATATATTATATATAAGTGGTTATTAGATAAGTCTTTGGAGTCAAAATGAATCATAAATAGTGTTTGTTGTATATATATATATATATATACTGATACTAGGCAATGAAATATCGAAGTGTTCTGCCAATTTTTATCTTCTCAGATAGTTAATTCATGGTATCAGAGCAATCATCAATGTCTATAGAAAACAAAGCCAAGATCTCCTTGATTGATGTCAACTCTCCTTACTATCTTGCTCCTTCCAACAACCCCAGAATGGTGCTAATTCCGAGCACCATGGATGGTGAGAACTACAACGGATGGGCTAGAGCAATGCGGAACGCATTGAGAGCCAAAAATAAGTTGGCGTTTCGTAAGCCTGAGAAACACCCCAGAAGTTCATGCCCGGGAGAAATGCCATTCAATGGTGATGACATGCAGGGGCGGCCCAACCCTAAAGCAAGTGAACACTTGCTTTAGGCCCCAAATATTTAAGGGCCCCAAAATTACTAGTATTTTTCTATATATAGTAGTATATTATTTATATAATTATCTTTTATTATTGATAAATTTATTTCTTTATTGTCATATTAATTTTTAATAACTCGATTTCTTCCTCTAATTAATATAACTAAAATAGTTTTCTGTCAATCTTATTTTATTTTTTTTACTTAATTATATTTCTCTATTCATTAGTTGGTCACGTAACTATATCTAATAATCTAACTTATTATTTATTTTCCTTACATAAATTATACTCTCTCCGTCCCAATTTGTACGAAAGTATTTGACTGGACATGGATTTTATGAAATAAAGGAAGGCTTTTGAAACTTGTAATCTTAAATAAATCATAGAAGTTTTTGGGCTAGAAATCATCTCATTAATGGTAAAAAGAAAAATCTAAAGTTGAATTGTTACCAAATATAGAAAGAGACTTACGAAAAAAAATGAGTCACTTATGTTTTCTGGGTTCTCCCATTTCAGTTGTGATGCAATCAACGTTAAATTCATTTAATTTTCTCTATTTTATAAAACTAAGCTCTCATTTTTTTTAATTCCACATCCTCACTTGTCTAATTTTTTTAAAAACGATGTTCATTAAATTATATATATATATATATATATATATATATATATATAACTTTCCCATTCTTTTGATCAAATAATCATTGTTTGTATGTATAGTTTCCTTTTCTTGCATTACATCTCTATGTTTAAAATATTATACATAAGATTGAGATTTGAGATAAGTACAAGTAGAGTTTAGTTGGTCATTAGATAAGTATTTGAGGCAAATGTATCATAAAAATTGGCAATGAATTAAGGAAGTGTTCTGCCAATTTTTAGCTGTGCTACTCAATTCTGAAGAAATTGTGAGAAAGAGAGAAAAGAAGCTATTTACTTTTACTTCTCGTTGTTCTTTGTGCCATTTAACTATAGTCTTAAAAAATAATAATCTGCAGCTAATTTTTAATCCAGAGCTATATTATAGATATAGAATCAGACATTGCTATGATTTTCTTGATTTCGAATCAATGAAAAGAAAAGAGAGAAGAAAGAGAGAATGAACTTACGGAGAGCAGGAAGGAGTTCGCAGACCCCAGGCGCGAAGCAGTGAAAGCTTCGTGAAAAATGGAGTCTCTCTAAGTTCAGGGTATCTCGATGGGAAAAAATTGAAAATAGTCCTTTTAAGTATGAACATAGAAGTATTTTAGTCCCTTACGTATAGCAATGAACACATAATGTCCATCATATTTGCAAATGTTGATAAATTTGGTCCAATCTTTTACGTAACCCTTAAAATTAAAGGAAAAGCGCATCTTAAGTTAAAATTAACGGACCTCTCTAACTTTTTTTTTTGGTAATAAAAGACTTTTATTCATAATAGCAAACTTAAAGAGTTATTACAAACGGAGATTCGCCTATGCAACAAAGTACCTATTCCATCTCTTCAAAAGTAGTACAAACAAAAGAGGGGGAATAGGATAAGTGAGCAATCTTCCAAAAACGTCCATTTTGCATATATTTTTTTATAATTGGTCCCCCGTTCCATTAGCTTCTCTAAACACATACTTTAGTGGTGGATCACTCGCGCTCCTCAATAGGGACCTGCAATCATCAATCAAGTTTTGATAGAAACAATCATTATTAGCTAGCAAATTAATAAGTTCATGACAATCTATTTCAATTACTAGTGGCAGCAAGCCTTTTTCAATAGCTAGTTTAACCCCGTGAAACAGTGCCAGTGTCTACATGTATATATTTATCGCGTGATTTATACTCATGTTAAAACCCAAGACCTATGCTTTGTTGTTATCCCTAAATACCCCCCCCCNGGTGGTTCCCACTTAATTTGAATGGTTAATAAGAGTGGTGTTCCTTCTAGAATTTCTGGCTAGCTTATTAGTCACAAGCACGAATTATATTGCCCTACTCACTGGAATATTAATATTAGGGGAGGATTTGTTTTCCTTGAAAACGATACTATTTCTGGTGGTCCATATATGTCATAGTAGGAAGGGGAGTAATTCCGACCAATTGAAATAATTGTTGTAGGGTTTTCTAGACTTCAATTTATCTCTAAGCCAATTGCGTATAGTGTCATTTGTATTCTGGCCTTGGGGATAGTTGTGATGGGTGCAGGTTTGTGCCCATAATGCCTTAGAGTAAACGCAATCAAAGAATATATATTCAGTGTCTTCTTTTTCGATACCACTAATGGTGCAGGTCCCATTAGGGTAGATTTTCCTTCTAGAGAGCATGTGAGTTGCAGGAAGTTTGTTGAGAACGACAGTCCATAGGAAGTATTTTAACTTATTGAGCGTATTGGTTCTCCGGATCCAATCATGGTTGGGCCCTTCATAATTTCATTATCCGGAGATGAGCTCATAAGCAAATTTGGTTGGGAATCTATTATGATTCTTAGAGTTCTAACTAAAGGTATTATTATTTGGGGAGGTTTTCTTAATGTAGGTACTATCAATCCCGGTAATCACTTCCCCTAGAAGGACAAGGGACATGTTGGTAAGGTTATAGGTCCCATTTTCCAAAGATAGAATTTAGGGTTTGGTCCATTTTCTAATGCGTGAGGGGCCCCTGGATATAGTCTCCGCGGGGACCTAACTGATTAACCCAATTATCATGCCATAATTTTATAGATTTTCCATCTCCTACTAGCCATTTGGTGGCCGGCTTACAGATGGTAGATCCTTTCTTGATATTTTTTCAAATATGGGAGCCTAAGTTTTTGTTGACACTATTAATTCGCAGAGGATTTTTTTTATCATACTTTTTATACAAGATATTTGCTCATAGGGAAACTTTTCCTTTTCTACATCTCCAAACCTGCCTGGAAAGAGCTATTTTTCCAAGATGTCATGTGGATGACAATGTCCCAACTAACTATGTGGCATTTTCTCCTTTCCTCATTGGTTCCCTATAAGAAGTTTCTTTGGATAGTATCAATATTATTTATGTAGCCTTGGGGGTTATAAATTTGCCAACTTAGTTTGGAATAGCATCTAGAGTTTATTTTATAAGGGTTGTGCAATGCTAAGAAACTTAGTTTTCCATCATTTAAGTCTGCTATTCATTCGGTCTATTATAAATTGGAAGTCGTTTTTGGAAGGTCTAGTGTTGATCATTAGGAATTCTAGGTACTTGTCGAGGTTGTTGGCAGATTTTATTGATAGCTTGTTGCTATAGATGTTCTTAAAACCAGGAGTGATATTATTAGAGAATAAGATTCTAGACTTATTAAAGTTTATATATTGCCCAGATATGGTGCAAAATTTATCAAGCGTATCAGTAAGGGAGTTACATCTTTTTTGGTTAACCTCCATAAGAAGGATGAGGTCGTCTGCAAAGAAGAGATGTGATATAGGTGGTCCTTTAGCATTGATTCTAATGGGGTACCATCTGCAACAGTCACTTTCATGGTCAATGAGTCAGGATAACATTTTCGTGCAGATGATGAAAAGATAGGAGATAAAAGATCCCCTTGTCTAATTCCTCTTGTTGGTTTAAAGAATTATGTTCTAGACCCACTGAAAAGAATAGAGGTGTTTGTGATGGAAATGTAAGCCATGATGAGGTCAATAAGGTCCTTAGAAAAATTTAAGGAGATTAAGGAAAATCTAATAAAGGACCATTCAATTTTATCAAAGGCTTTCTCTAAGTCTATTTTAATCATCATTTTAGACTTTTTCCCTTTTTAAGGCTTTTAAGATGAAGAATGGATTAGTGCACAATAATTGCATTGTCAGTTGCCCTTCTATATTTAATAAAGCTAGTTTGAGTGGGGTGGATAATGTTAGTAAGGTAGGATTTTATCCTATTAACTATAATTTTGGTGACAACTTTGTACGCAGTGTTACAAAGCTAATAGGTCTATATTACATGATGGTCTCCGCATTTTGGCATTATGGTATCAGGCAAACGTAGGTGTTATTCATATTTTCAGGCATATATTTAGAAATAAAAAATCCTTACAAAAATTAACCAGATGCTTACTAGTCTCCTCCCAATATCTTTGATAAAAAAAAAGGGTGTAGACCATCAGGTCCCGGGCTTTAAAAGATTTAAAGGAAAAAATGGCATTCTTAATTTCTTTTTCAGAGGGGGTGCCAGTTAATACTTTGTGCTCAATATCATTAATGGTGGCACTACAGGACGTGTATATGTTATTCATGTAGGATAAACACATGCTCTGTAGAGTGTAGATTGAGATAGAAGTTATTAATGATAGCCTTTATATCTTTTTGGTCATGAATCCAGTTACCACCCTCGTCTTTTAGACTAAAAATTCTATTCTTTCTTCTTATTTGTAAAGTAGTTATTTGGAAGAACTTGGTGCTTGCATCCCCTTCTTGGATCCATTGAATTCTAAATTTAAGCTTCCAAAATCCTTCCTCTAATTTCATGATGCTATTATATTCCTCAATAAGGTCATTTCCTAGGTTAATAAGGAAATTATTAGTGGTATATTTGGGGAAGTTTTGAATGCCTTGTAGTATAGAAATAATGAAATTCTTCTTTTTTAAAAATATTACCAAAAGTACTATTGTTCCATTCCTTAACCCTATTTGTAACATTTTCGATAGTATTAAGAATGTCCAATTGATTATCTCATATCTCTTTGACTAAGCTTTGGAAACTAGGATGCGACATCCACATAGACACAATTCTAAAAGTATTATTACTAGTGTTAATAGATTTATGTAGGTCTAACTTAATTGGGCAGTGGTCGGAATGGGTCCTAATAAGGTGTTTGACACTCGCATCTTGGAATAGCTTAATCCATTTCGCATTTGCTAAACATCTATCTAATCTCTCCATAATAAGCGTTTTGCAGTGCTTTCTTTTATTGGTCCAAGTATATTTTGGTCCTTTGAATCCTAGGTCCATGAGTTGACAATAGTTTAGGTAGTTATTAAAGTGAGTAGGTATGTTTTTATTGACATGAAACCCTCCAAACTTTTTCGAAGCACGTGTGACTTCGTTAAAATCTCCTACTACTAACCAATGGCCTTTAAAATTGCCTGCTACTATTTTAAGGGTTTTCCAAAGAATAAGTCTTTTCTCTAATAGATTGCTAGCATAAATTACTGAAATAAGCCAAGAATTATTTGAATTGTTTACCTTTACCATGGCATGGATCTCCTGGTCAGTGCCACTAATCGGGTCTACTAGTGTATTTCCATTATTCCACATGAGAGCCATACCACCTGAGTTTTCATGTGATGGAATCTGGATTAAGCTAGAGAATCCAAAGTCATGGACTAGGTTATGATGACCTTCGAGCTTGGTTTCCAACAAGGCTACGACATTAGGTCGATGATAATCTAGCATTGATCGAAAAGCTCTTCTAAAATCAGCATTACTTGCACCCCTACAATTCTAGATGATGATATTCATACTAATATTCTGGGTTGAGGATGTCCTCCTCTAGGTTTGTTGGAGAATTGTGTTGACTTATGTTGTCTTCTTGGTTCATCCAATATTGCATGAATAGTTTTGGAACCATCACTACTACATATTGGTAAATTCCCCGTGGGTTTAACTTCCTTATAGTGACGGAACATTTCCTCAAATCCACGGGGAAACTTAAGATGAATCTTTTTTCTCTTCTTGACTTGAACACCAGTGTTTTGAGTATCTCAACACTCCATGCTCCAATATTCTTTCTATTGGCACTTCTTCCTCTACTTCCTCCTCTTCCATCCTTGCTTGATTTTGATTCTACTGGGGAGTTGGAATGGGCATTGGGACAGTCTGTATCTCTGTTGCTGCTGGTACATTGTTGTTGACATCGTGTGGTAAAGGAGTATGCATGATTTGTGCATGGTTCAATGGGTGTGCATGGTTGTTTTATGGATTGTGTGTGTGTGTTTATTAGGTGTTTTGGTACATTGTAGCTAGGGCTGGTGGGTTCTGAGGATTGGGGAAGAGTGGTATTGTAATGATCCAACCGATCATTTTAACTTTTAGAACCCCATTCCCCTAAATAAAACTCCTCATATGTGCTTTTACTAATTTATGACTTGCACGGACGGTTGGTTCGAGATTTGGAAATGTTCGAGTTGAAATCAGAACACTTAGTTCTTTAATTTGGCTTTAAAAGGCCAAATTTGACTTCGGTCAATATTTTGAGAAAATAACC